TTCACTTCTTGGACACGTGTTCCCACAGTGAAGATTGCTTCTCCAGAGTAAAGCAAGGGCAGATAAAACGTAAGCCCTTTTAGACCCACAGGGACCTAGGCAGGGTCAGTGACCTGATGGGGCTGTGGGTGTGTGGACAGAAGCAGCACCCTGGGCTCCCTGATCAGCCGTCACCCTGAATAGAATGACCTTATTCCTGCTTGATGCAGCTGATGGCAGAAAATCAATTCTGTTAGCAATGGAGAGCAGATTTCTGAGGCAAAGTCAAGCTTTTTTAGAGGAAAAGAGCTCTCACAGGGAACTCCAGGCAAAGCAGACAGGCCCAAGACATGGCCCTTGGGAGAGGTTTTATTTTGATAAACAATGGAACACATTTTTTTCTAGCAAATGGATTTTATTTTGCTTTATCCCAGTTTTTTTGGGGGGGGGGCAGAGAGAGGGGGTGGAGTCTCACTTTGTCACCCAGGTTGGAGTGCAGTGTCACAATCACGGCTTACCACGGCCTCGACCACCTGGGCTCAGGTGATCCTTTTGCTTCAGCCTCCTGAGTAGCTGGGACTACAGACACGTGCCACCATATCCGGCTAATTATATTAATTTTTTGTACCAATGCTGCACTCTCTGAGCCTGCCCAAATCATGCCTCATACACACTTCTATTATTTCACTCAGCTGTGCTCTCTTCCAATTATGTTTTGTTGTGTGCTTGTTTCTCCTATCAGACTTGGAGGTTCAATGAAGTTGTGACTGGCTTAAGGTTTTCTGACTAATAAAAGAGAAAGCCTTCCTCCCACTTCACAAAAGAAAGGCAAATTATTGGATTTAACCCAATCTTGGGAGGCCAAATCCAAGACATGTCTTGTGTGTCTGAGGGCACAAAAATTTTCTAAGCCAGGCTCAGTGGCTCAGCCTGTAATCCCACGCCTTTGGGAGGCTGAGGTGAGTGGATTGCCTGAGCCTGCGGGTTCGAGACCTGCCTGGGCAGGTGAGACCTCATCTCTACAATAAAATCAAAAAATAGCCGGGTGTGGTAGTGCGCGCCTGTAATTCCGGCTACTAGGAAGGTGAGGCGGAAGGATCACCGGAGCCCAGCAGGTCGAGGCTGCGGTGGCCGGGAGCCGCCACTGCACTCCAGTCTGGGACACAGAGTGAGACTCCAACTCAAAAAGAAAAAAAGAAAAAAAAAAGAAAAAAAAAATTTTCTAAGATGCTCTAGAATCTAGATAAGGCTTAGGGCCCTTCCAGCCTGTCATCAGAGAGAATGTTTTTATATACATTATGCATGTTAATTACGATCAGGCAGACATGAGTTAACCAGCGCAGATTGGTGTGAAGTTCATGGGCTGTCCTGGGAAAATATAAACCTCAGGATGGAGGTGGTGTGCCTTTTCTGTGACCCCAGGGCACTTGGCATAGGCGTACACCAGCGGTTAAGCAAATGGGTTTGGAGAATATCGCTTTTTATTTACCCAGAAATGAATGTTTACCAAGCACTTTCACATGCATTATCCACATTGATCCTCCCAACAGACTTGTGTAGTAGACGGTACCTCAGCGTTGATGCTGATACCACAGAAGCACCAGGAAATGATGAGAAAGGAACAGGCTTTGAAACTGGACAGACTGGGTTTGTTTGCCTGGGCCTTTCTACTTGTCATGTGGCCTGGGGATATCCCATTACCTCTTTTTGCTTCTGCCTTTTACTTCATTAAAGACGACCAAAACAAAGAGGAAAGGAGAAGGCAGGAGGGAAGAGAAGAAAAGTACAAAGAAGGTTACTCTAAAGTAATAGAGGCTGGTGATGCCACAGACTTCATGAAATTGTAGGGACATATTTGGACACTGTTTGTAGGTTCTGGAAGTTCAAAGTCTTAAATAAGATTCCGTCCCTGCCTTCAGAAAGTATCTCATCTAGTGGGGAGACAGATGTAAGCAATTGACAGTAAGCAAAGCAACAGGCTGTTTCTGATAGGGGCACATTGTCAGGGTTACTGGCCCCAGGAGAGAGAGAATGAGGTGTTTGGTGAGCATGAAGGTAAGGTGGAGATACCTGGACCAGATGCCAGGTTGATTAGGTAAATTCATACCTCCTGAACACTACTGGGCTTCTTCATCTGATAAAGCAGTTCAACATTAACTTAGTGGCTGGTCTCGTGGCTTGTTACAGGTTACTGTTTGTTCAGTATCTTACATTGTCTTGGATGGAGTTGCACATTTGGTTTTGGTGGCTCTGAGAGATGATTTCATATGACAGTATTAAGATTATAGAAAATCTTAACAATTTGGAACCAGGATAAAACAAAGGGAAGTTTTTGTATTTGAAAGAAAAAGAATCCTAATGGGTAACTTCTTTTTTTTTTTTTTAATGAGGAAACAAGGCTTAATACCATAACCTTTGTTAAAGACTTACAGGGTTTAACTGGACTTTAAGTTCACTACAATGGGAATATTGTGATTTGGTGAAAAAGACATGATTTAGGGTTGTATGACTGGAAATATAGTATCCATAATGGGGGAGGTTATGGCTATGTTATTTTCTATGCTGGAATATTTTTATGTTTGGAGAGTAACTGTGATATCTGAGTATCAGCTAATGTTCTTTGAAACCTACCTATGTGATAGTTACTTCCAAATATTTAAAGTACTGCCACAGAAAAGAGGAATTTAACATTTCTCTTTAGATTCGTTCCAAGCCTCTTACACTTTTTTTCACACAGTCATGCCTTTTACACCTCTATGCTTTGTTCATGCCGTTCGTTCCCTCTGCTTGGCACACTTTTCCCAATTTTCACATGGCTAACACATCTCAGCCTTCAGCTCTCAGCTCAGAAATGATCTCTTCTAGAAAATCTTCCCAGAACCCCATATCTGATCTCGGCTTCCTACTCACCTTTGTGTTTCCCGGTATCCCTCTTCATGCTTCTCTTCACTTTTGGAGTGGAATGGGGTGGGTCTGCTTTCTTGCGGGACTGTTGGCTTCTCAAGGCAGGGACTCCCCGAGTTCTCTCTTACTGAGTATCAACTGGACAGAGTTCAGTTGCAGCCTCTTTCCAGCTGCACTCACATACATTTGCTGGCTGTTATCACCTATTCTTGTTTTCATTTTCTTCTCTGCTCTACTCTTTGTACTTGTAATTTGTATCTATTTTATTCGCACCACTGTCATTTTGATGGGAGTTTCAGAGGGAAGGAGGGATCATTAACACATGGGTTCAATATGTTGTATTTAGACTGATACAGCCTCTTACTGGATACAATTCAGAATGCGTAAAACTTCAAAATGCATATGATCTTTGATGCAGCTGTTCTATTTCTAGATAACTAACCTATAGATACAATTCTACACATGTATGGAGATACGTACAGGGACACAAGGACATTGCCTCTAGCATTGATGGTAATCATAAAAAATTGGAAACAATTTATATGTTGTCAATAAGGGTATGGTTGAATAAACTTTGGTAGGTCTATTTATACTACAGAACATTATACAGCAGTCAAAAAATTGCTGTTAACCTAAACACACAGATTTGGAAATCTCTCTAGGAAATATTCCTAAATTTAAAAAGCAAGTATGTATCATCTATGATCTCACTTATGTCACTTAAAACCCACAAAATGTATATTTTGATTCATACTTAGAAGTGAATATAGAATATGGAAAACTAATTTGTTGATTTCAATCTTGGGTCCTGTCAGTTTGACTATGCTTTCTTACTCAAGGTCAGGCATGTCCCTGTGTTTTCACACATATCTAGAAAGAAAAGCTGCTCACCCAAAGACTCCCATTCTGTTGAGCACATCTTACAGGGGTCACCACTGGGCCCACTAAGCATACTGATCATCAGTGGTATCACTATTTTCTTTTCTCATCAAGGAAAGAGCTCATATTCCCTTCCCCCTTTCAGTTAACCTGCTGAGGCCATTCTTAAATGCTGGCACTGACTTTCAACGTATGATAGATTGCAACACTTCGTGGTTTCCAACACACACATATTCTCTCTCAGTTTCTATGGATCAGAAATCTGAGTGTGGCTTAGCTGGGTCCTCTGCTTCAAAATCTTTCACAGGTTTGTGGTCACTCAAGGCTGGAGGGAGGGATGGTTCACTTCTAAGCTCACATACATCGATATTGGTACGGTTCAGTTTCTTGAAGGCTGTTGGCCAGAGGCCACCATAATTCCTTTGCTGTGTGGACCTCTCTGTGAGCTGCTTACACAGAGGGTGAGAGCAAGACAAAGTCACAATCTCACATAACATGTCTTAGAATTGCCCATCACTTTTGCTGCATTCTAGTCTTCCTTTAATATATGCAAGGGGATACCCAAATCCATGCAGGCATATTCAAGTTCCACAGTAGGACGTAGGTAGTAGAAGCTGCATATTTGAAAAGTTGGTACTATTTATAACCCAGGTTTAAAATCCCACAAATACTATATTTTCAGTCCATGTTTTCAGTTAGAAAAAGTCTGCATACAAGTTCACATGTGCAGTTCAGACCTGTGTTGTTCAAGAGTCAACTAATTTCTTGGAGGCCAGTCACTAGATCCGGCCCTTAAGGAGAGGGGATTGCTCAAGGGGTGCATACCAAGAGGTAGGGGTCATCTCAGAAGCTGCCCCTCACTGTGATGAAAAGGTAATTCAAGGGTTGCAGGAGAGAATCCACAAGCAACGAAGTTTTGGTCTAGACGGAAAGAGGCTTTAGACAAGCATGTTTCATAAACAAATGGCACAGTTGTTTGCCTACAGTAAGCGTTAAACAGTATGGATTTGCTTTCTCTTCACTCTTCATTTGAAAATAATTTTAAAGTTGCAAGAGGAATAAAAGAATCTCCTATACCCTTGACAGAGTCACCGTTAATTATATTTTGAACACACGGTATCATGGAATTTGTCACGTGGGAGGGCAGGATTTGTGGGGCCTGGTAAGAGGTGTGGGCTGGCCTCTGGATAAGCAGTCATTCCCTCTCAAGCGCCTGCTTCTCCCTCCTCTTCCTCCAGAGAATCCTGAGCGAGCGGCTCTGTACTTTGTCTCCGGCGTGTGCATCGGGCTGGTGCTGACCCTGGCCGCCTTGGTGATGAGGATCTCGTGTCACACAGACTGCCGGCGGCGGCGGCATCGTCCGGGCAAGAAGTTCCTGCAGGACCAGGCGAGCAGCAGCGACAGCAGCGACAGCGAGGACGGCGGTTCGGACAGCGGATCCGACCTCTCGGTGAGGCGACACCGCCGCTTCGAGAGGACGTTGAACAGGAACGTGTTCACCTCGGCGGAGGAGCTGGAGCGAGCCCAGCGGCTGGAGGAGCGCGAGCGCATCATCAGAGAGATCTGGATGAACGGCCAGCCCGAGGTGCCCGGGACCCGCAGCCTGAACCGCTACTACTAAGGGCGCAGCCAGGGCCCGCGGGGCACAAGGAACCGAACCCGTCCCGCCGGGTCTTGTGGCTGCAGAGACCAGCGGGGCACGCCCCTTTGCTAGCCCGCAGGACTGATTTTTCTCGTTTTTGACTGTAGACAAGTGGAAACACCAAGTTGGTCCATCCACCTTTCCAGGTATTGGAATGGTGCTGAAAACCCCTCTCCAGCCTCGTGGATGGAAACTCGAGAAATGGGACGGTGATTTCTCTCGATTTCTGAGGATCTCAGGAGTTTCTGCAGACTTGGCTGCTGTGCTTTATTCCTTTACAAAAGGAAAGGTTATCGTAGCATGAGGGCTGGGGAAAGCAGGGTGAACTGAACCCAGGAAATGCAATTTCTAAGTGACTCCGTGCTGTGGAGGTGATTCTGATTCAGATAGCATGATCCATGCTTATTATTTAAGGCGGATTTTTTAAAATCTTGGGTTGCAATGGCAACCTCGTCCATTTTAACTGGCACCTCAGGGATTAAAATCCAATTTTTTTAGCGTAGTTCCCACCTCATTCATGACAATGACTAGAATTATTTGTATTATGGGAGATGTGTCAGTAAACTAGAAAATGTCCATAACCTCAAAGGATGAAGGGTTTTTATTTTAAATAGTTTATAAAATATATATTTGACACACATATTTGAAAATGCTGCATTAAAAATAAAAGCTGTGTGTTTTCCCTCACATTGGAGAGAAAGTTTTATTACGACTCAAGATAATTATGTTTTTAAACATTTTCTTTAAATAAAACATTTGTATTCCCAAGAAAAGAATGGAAATGAAAGGTAAGGATTAAGCCAAAATTAGGATGGGATTGAAAAAAAATAAATGTTACATGAAAACTTTTTTGTTTCATGTCTGTCTCTGTAGTTACACCTACTAAATTACAGCCCTTTTATATAGGTCGGTATGGGTTTTTGCCCCTCGAGGCCCCTCAAGGATTAGAAGGGAGAAATAGCCCCTGTGTGATTATGGGCTTTTCATTTTCTGTAGCTTATATGTATGGTTGCAGTACAGTTGACTTGTGATTAAGCAGATAGAGGAATAGAAGACTTCTTTGAGGGTAGAAATAAAATGATGGCCCTCATAGGGGAAGAGGAAGTTGGTAGGGAAGGAAGAGAGGCAAGGCTGTGCAAAATTTAGAAATGTAACAGAGGAGGAAGCAACTTTCTCTAGGCTGATAAATGGAAACAGTCAGATCTGTCTTTGGCTCCCTTTTGTGGCTGTAGAGTGGGTTTCTTAGTCAGCCTAGCTGGATACTTGAGAACCTTCCTACTGGGTGGACCTCTCCTGTTTGTTGACTTTGTCGCCAGGCTTAAGAGGATGGTCAGACTTTCTCCGGTGGGATTTCCACTGCTTCAGCAACCCACTTTTTCTCTTTTTTCTTTTTTTGAGTTGGAGTCTCACTCTTGTCACCCAGGCTGGAGTGCAGAGGTACACTCATGGCCACCCCAGTGTCGGGTACCGGCAATCCTTCTGCCTCTGCCTTCCAAGTAACTGGAACTACAGGCACATGCTACTACGCCCGGCTAATTTTTTAAATTTTATTATAGAGCCAAGGTCTTGCCAAGCTGCCCGGGCTGGTCTCGAACCCACGGGCTCAGGCAATCCACTCGCCTCAGCCTCCCAAAGTACTGGGATGACAGGCTGAACCACCGAGCCTGGCCCTACAGCCCACTTTATGTTATAGGGACTTTGAGAGCTGTCATAAGAACTAAACAATCACCAATCATCATCTCTGCTTGCCAAGGGGCCAATCAGGCTGGCTTGAAACACTCAGTGGCTGGCCTGATGATTTAATTTTGAGAGGCTAGTCACATTGGCTAGTGACAAGAGCGAAAAATCCTAAATCAGCATCTCTGAATCTGGATCTCTGCCCTTATAGGTTCAGTTCCTTAGCAACAATTGCAAGAATCATCCCATTCTCCGAGGCTTTAGATAATATTACCTATCTCAGTCTCCACTTTCTAGAAAAGTGAAACAATTGGGAGCTGCTTTCGTTGCCAGGCTGCATCCAAAGTTGATTAATCCAGAGTTGATTACAGGGCGGGGATTCTGACCCCTGTTAGGCAGGAGTTGCAATAGTGAAGGTGTTTGGGAGGGCTCTGGGGCATGTGCCTTTCCCAGTTCCCACTTCCATATGCTGATGCCTTTCAGTCAAGTCCAGAATGTTCTCATTATTAGGGTGTTGGAGAGATTACCTGGGGCACAAAACACAGTAGGTACTGACAGCTGCTTTGCTTCTATGTAACAAGGATTCCAGCTTTTCACACTTCCCCGTCTTGACTCAACCACTTCCACATTTTAGGTCTGTGACTCCACTTCTGGTTCTAGTTTCTGTATTAAGACATTCGCATTTGTAACAGAAAGATATCCAACTTAAGGGCGTTTATTGATTCACGTAATTGGAAGGTCAGTGATGCAGATTTTTCAGGTTAGCCTGGGCTTCAAGAGTGTCATCTCAGTGGGTCAGCCAGCCAAGCCCCAGAGAGGATCATGGAGGAGCTGGTAAGCCTAGCCCCACAAGTGTCAGCTCTAATGGGCTGGCAAGACAACCCCTGAGTGTTGCAATTCCGGGGAGCTGGCAAGCCTAGCCCCCAGGGTGTTGGCACTAATGGGCTGGCAAGCCAAGCCCTGAGAATGTTGCTGGTTTGCTGGGCTGACAAGCCTAGCCCCCTTGGTGCCTCAGCTTCAGAGTCTCGCCTTCCTCCGGCAACTCTCCTGGTTCCGCTGACTCTGTCAGCTGGTAAGCTAGCCTCCGGGGTGCATGACTTTTCGACTCCAGTGATCTTCTGCAACTCTTCAAGTTGCAGCTCTTCAGGGTCAAGGTTCTTGTCTCATGCCCAGGAAGAGCCAGAAGGTGAGAAAGCATTTGTTGAGGACAGAAAAGATCCCACAGTGGGAGGGGGCCTGAAGGGGTTGCCCGTTCAGGGCTGAAAACCTGGGGCTTATATAGCCCTAAGTCCAAGCCGATTGGCTAGCATTAGCTGTGCGCTGTCACTGTTCTGACTGTCCAGTATTAAGGTAGGGAACTACTGGTGAGCTGGTTGGTTGCTTTTCGATTCCAGCAGTGAGTGAGTTCTAGCCTGAGAGGCTTGCAGGGAGTTTGTTTACCAATGCTTAGCTTGAGAGGCCTGCCAGGAGTTCACTACATTGTTACCAGAGGACCCAGTTGTCTGTCTGCCTAACCTTTCTCTAGCTATTGCCTGTCTCAGCAGGGTTGATGCTGGCTTCAGGGATGGTTGGAACTAGGGGTCCCAGTGCTGCTAAAAGTTTGGTCTTTCTTGGCTCTCCACCCTGCTTCCTTCTTCTGCTGGTCTCATTTTCTCCTGCTTTCAAAGGAAATTCTAACACACTTGGACGTACAGGGTGTTGGTTTGCTTGCTACAGATCTAGCTCTCGCACAGCTCATAGGTTGCACGTGTGTGTGTGCTGGCTTAGCTAGCTCAGAATTCAGCGGCAAGACAGTATTGAAGAGATGCTTTTGATAACAGCTTTTCTGGTCCCCCATAGATCCACAGGAAGCACTAGCTGACAAAAGTCTGAGAAAAATTTAGGGAGTGTAAGGCATTTTGGGAGCCCAAGAAATCTTCTTCACGTATGAGAATGCTCCACCCAGACTCTCTTAGGAACTGCTTCCTGAGCTATGAAACACAGATGGTCTTTATCAACTCATGGCACTTTGAAACCCACTCAGCTGAACCTTTGCGTGTGTCAGAGAGAACACCATGGCACTTTTGGATTTATATCATTGCAACACAAGCACACAGAGGAAAAAAAACACCTTGCTCCATGGCTCAAAGTATAAGATCATAGGGAAGGAAGACTACCTGACCTGGCTTATGTCATGTGCCCACCCATCCAGGACCATTCACTGTGGCCAAGAGGCTGGGCCTGGCCAGGAAGAGAGCGGTGATAGGATATTGGGCAGACACAATAGCCACGGCATCACTCTTTCCAGTCTTTCTTGGTTTTCCTAGTATCGTTTTATTTTTCTTCTTTGTTTTTCTTAATGCTCTCTCTTCTTTTCCTTACCTCCTTCAATATGGGTTCATTTTTCTAACCCCGAACCACTAATTTCCTCACTCCACATATATAAGATCTTTTTCCGGTCCTGGCTAAGTTTAAGACTCATACAGTCCACTTATCCTCAACCACAGGAGACAGTTCCCACAGGAGATATTGGCAATGTCAGGAAGACACTTTGGTTGTCACTGCTGGGTGTGTGGAATGCCACTGGAATCTAGTGGCTGGAGGCCAGATATGCTGCTAAACCTTCTACAGAGCTGATCCTGGCCTTCCAGCCATCTCCATCCTAGCAGCGAAAAAAATAAATCTCCAAGTGATTCCAGCCCCCAGTTATAATGACTCTTCCCAACCAAAGCCCCAGATTTTGTAGAACAGAAATAACTCACCCCTGATGAGACCTGTCCAATTTTTTAATATACAAAATCGATAAGCATAATAAATTTGTGGTAGACTTATGCCACTAAGTTTTTCTTTTCAGTGGGAGAAATATAACACTATTAACCTCTACTGTAAGGTCGGCAGCCCTGAGAACTCCTTTTTTTTTTTTTTAACAGAGCATGTTATGAATGTAGTCCTGCTTCCTAAGAAATGAGGAACAAGTATTTTCAAATGTAATATGCCAATAAGTTTTGGGGTGGTTTGTTACATGATTCATAACTGGACAATTTCCTAGCCTGCATTCACCTTCTCCCACCTACAACTCTAGCTATATTTCTTATAAGTTAATAACAAGGCAAGTTACAAGGTCACTCAAGTCCGAAGCTGGGACTGCTTCAGTTTCCTTCTTTTGTTTGAACCTTCACATACAACCAGTTAGCAAACCTTCCTGATTTTAAGTCATTAATATTTCTTGCATGTATCCTTCCTTTACAACCTGCTTGAAGACCTTATCATCTCATGCCTGGACGATTGCAAAAGCCTTTAAACTAATCTCTGGTCTTGTCTTCATCAAAGTTACTCTGAATACA